CTTTTTTTTTTTTTTTTTTTTTAGAGGCAATGGTTGCTTCATTGCAAATGGTACCCAATCCCCCTTTCCCCTTTTCCCTTTTCTTTGTTTTTTTTTTTTGTATCTTTCTTTCAACGATATACATGTGTCATTTTTACCTGCCCACACACACACACACACACACACACACGTACGCATGTAGGCATGTACGCATGTACGCATGTAGGCATGTACGCATGTACGCATGTAGGCATGTACGCATGTATATGATGCATACGATGTGATTTTGTAATCATAGAGGTGTGGTGTAAGTTGTGGCTTAATTGGGTTGTGAAGGTGCATACTTATTTTTATCTGTGGGCTTAAACATACACATTTATATCTACCTATATGTATGTATGTATGTATTACCACAGTTGTTATATACCGGCTCTCTGTACTATTGTTTTTTTTTTTTTTTTTTTATGGACACGGGGGGAGAGAGAGAGAGAGGAGGAAAAGAAAGGGAGGCGGAATATTAAAGAAAAAAGAAAAAAATATTTATTTATAAAAAAGGCAAAAACAAGCAGGCAAAAAAAAAAACAAAAACAAACAAAACACGCATGCCGACCAGTTTTATTTACAAGGGAGCCGATAGGCGTCTTTTTTTTTTTTTTTTTCCTCCTCTTTCTGTTCTGCCCTTGCGGTTGTTTGTTTGTTTGTTTTTGTGTGCGTCGTTCCGCCGCCCTCGGACCGTCGATCCGTCACCGTCCGAGTGTTAATTTGGACGGCTATTCGCCTCCGCGTCAGCGAGCGGCGCAGAAGACACCCCAAAAGAAGGGAGCCGCCGGTGGGGGAGTTGGCGGAAAACACATAAATACATACATGCATACATGCAGGCAAAAATAAATAAAGAGGAGGGTGTGTGTGTGTGTGTGGGAGGGGGGAAAGGCACGAGACTTTCTTTCTTTTTCGCTTATGTGCGAGGGATTTTGTATTTCTCTGTAGATACTTGTGTACATCAGTACTGCTGTTACCACAGGACTGTTTCTTTCTTTCTTTTTTTTTTTTTTTTTTGCCTTTGTTTGTTTGTTGTTTCCGCAGTTAAATTTTGTTTCGTATTCCCTGTGACATGCCTAAATGCATGTTGACACATAAGTACATACGTACACATTCACTTATATGATTTCTGTTTTCTATGATAAATAAATAAATATATATATATATATATTTTGTATGCATTTATGCACACCTGCACAGTCGTTTATATATTATATTATGTTATATTATGTTATATTATGTTATTTTATTTATTTATTTTTTGTTTTTGTTCTTGGTATTCTTTCCTGTATTATTTTTATTTTTATTTTTTTATTTTTTTATTTTTTGGGACTTTTACAAGCCTCAGTATATTATCTCTGTGGGATATATATATCGGTAGTTACGTGTGGGTTAAAAGTGATGGGATCACACGAGGGGAGGACACATCCAGCTGCCTTTCTTTTATTATATGTACGTACGTGTATGTACGCATTTGTTTTTGGTGGCAAAACAAAATTGGGGCGGAAAGAAACAAAAAAAAAAGCCGAAAATAATAAATAAATAAATAAATAATAATAATAAAAGGAAGGCAGCTGGTGTCGATAAAATATATAGAGAGAAAGGGAGTTGCAGAGAAGTGGGGAAGTTAAACTTTGCTTTTTGATCTTTACGCTCTTATTATTATTATTTTTCGTTTGTGTGAGTGAGTGATGCCTCTTGTTTTTGAGTTTAAATAAATAAATATATTTATCTTTATTTGCGGTGCTCTGTGTGTTTGTATCCCCGTGTCTGCGATTGCCTGCGGCTGACGGCAATGACTGCTGCCGCTGCTGTCAAAATATGCACCGGTACTTCTTTTGGGGTCCTGGTGGGAAGACGAATTTCATTCATGCGGCGGTGCGGAGAGGTCGGGTTTGGATGCATGAAGTTACGTTCAGGCACGGAAAGAAAAGCCGAAGAAAAGAACAGAACAGAACAGAACAAGAAGGGAGGAAGGACACCTGTAATCGACGATAATAATTAAACGACTGTGTTTTAATATTACTTTTATACAAATTTATGAGTTTGTGGTTTAATCTTCATTTGTTCATTTGTTCGTTTTTTTATTTTTCTTTTTTCTTTTTTGAATTTTTATGGGGATTTAAACCTCTTTTTTTTTTTTTTTTTTCGTGTACATCCACATGTATTCCATTGCCTCCCCCCCTCCCGCCCCTTCTCCTGCCTGCACACCCTTCTTTCACTCCTTGTGTATGCGCGGCAGAAGAGTGTGAGTGAGTGGGTTTGTGTGTGTTTGGTTGCGTGTACGAAGAGCGGCATGTGGTCATGGGTGCATGCAGGGAATCACCATTATTATGTGTGCATATTATTTATTATTTTCTGTCGCACTGCCATTGGAGGGAAAGAGAGAGTGAGTGAGTGAGAGAGCGGCGATGAGCGCTTAAGTGGGGGGGGGGAATATAAAAGATGTCATTAATTATACATACGTATACACTTATATATATTTCTTTATTACTATTATTTATTGTTTCATTGGTGAAAAGATGGAGAGGGGAGGAGATGAAAGAGGAAAACGAGTGCTTTTCCATTTCCCGCCACACACATACAATGAAAGGGAAATAATCGTGGGAGTGATGGTGATACAAAGATTTGGGGCAAGTTGTTTGGCGTGTTTATATTGTGTTTGGCCAAAAGAGTTGGAAAAACTGGGAGTAGGCATGGCTTGTGGCCGACATGATTCCCCGGCTGGATCTTGTTGTTTTGTTTCTTCTTCTTTTTCCTTTTATTTATTAAAAAAAAAAAAATTTTTTTATTATTATGATTGACATAACATTCACCCTTCCAAGGCGTGTGGGACAGGAACGGGGAATAGTTTTGTTTTTTGTGCAGTGACCTGCGGAAGTAAAAGTAAGCCGCCAACACCAAGAAAGAGTGAAACGGAGGAAAATTAAATAAATAAATAAATATCCATACACGCATACATACCGACAGACATATTTGTGTGGTGCCTTCCGCATAACGGAGAGAAGTGGAGGCCGCAAGCAGAGCGGACGACGGCAGAAGAGCGGGAAAGGGATTTATTAAACAAATTCGGTTGGCTCGGCGGGAGAGAGGGAAGGCGGGGGCTGAAGGATGCCGTTGTCTCTGACACGCCAGGCGGCTCAGCAGTCGGACGATGTGAGGCAAACTGAGGAGGAATTAGTGCCACGCAGGGTGGTGACACTTCATCTGCGTCCTGCAACCGCGGAGAACGAGGAGGATCGCATGCGTCGTGTTTCGTGGGAAAGAAATGTACGGGAAAATAGAAACCAGCGCGTCAGTAAAAGTTGCTGTGTTTTTCATAAAAAAAAACTTTTTGGGGAGAGCAGCAGCGATGAAAGTAGTAGTAGTAGCAGCAGCAGCAGCGGTGACGAAAGCGGCGGTGTTATTGGTGACAACGACCAACAGAGAGGAGGTGATGCTCACCATTACGGCCGTCATGGAAGCCATGAGGGCGATCCTGCTGCTTGCCAGCACGGTGATAATCGCCACCACCGCCATAAACATCCACCTTGCACAAAGGAGCATTGTTACTGCGGAACGCGGTTTCATTAAGCATCACTGTGGAGTAACGCGACGGAAAAAGAAGAAAAAGAAGAAAAAAAACGAACATGGAAAATAAAGAGAAGAAAACAAGACAGACAGGAAAGAAGGTCTTTAAGGGAATGGGTGTGGTGTAAGGAAGGGATGGTGATGGTGATCGGGAGTAATGATGTTAATATTACTGATATTGATGCTTGGGAATTATAACAAAGAGAAGAGAACGATGGGGAGGCCAGGGTACATTGAATGTGTATCCATGAAATGTGTATATACTAATATCTATATCTATATATATATTTGCCTGCGTTGTGTTGTGTGTTTGTGTGTGCGTTTGGATCTATTCAATTATTTTGAGAACTTGCGGACTTTGAACCAATATATATATATATATATATATATATATATATATATATATATATATATATATATATATATATATATATATATATATATTTGTCTTTCTTTCTTCCTTGGCGGGTTATTTCGCAATCACTCCTTTTTTCTTTCTTTTCTTTTTTTAAAACTATTAGAACCATATTTTTATTTGGGAGGATTGTGTTTTGATTTTGTGGCAGTTGGTGCTTCACGATGCTGAGGGAGGGGAGTCTCACTGCGTCTCCTCAAGGACTGTCGGGTCCATCGCCAGTGTTATTGTCAGCATCGCGACAGCTGCTGTTGCATTATTCTCCGAATGAAATGGATTCACCAGCGAAGAAGTTGGAGACAGCCAGCAGTCTTCACTCCAGCATCACAGAATTCATGCGCAGCCCCATGCTTGTTATTCAAAATCCTGACTTTATGAAAACGACAGAAAAGTCTCCAACTACACACGGTGATGAAAATTTATTACACGACGTGGAGGAACTGCGCCGCCTTGTTGGGACGACGCAGGAGGAGGTTTGTGCGCTGCGCCGCGCGGTGGCAGAGCTAGAGGCTGAGATACACACCAATAAGAAGGAATTGTTAATGCGGCTTTATTCCGACTTGTCGACGCCACCACCAACTGGATTGGAAGATAAAGATGCTGGTGGCGCGGGTGTGGAAGTAGACCAGCTGCTCGCATCTTTGCGAAACCAATTACTCAGTCAAGTACGGGAGTTGGAGGAGCAGGCAACGCTGTGCAGATTAAATAACACCGCAAAGGAGGAGGCACTTCGCTCTCTTTACGCCAGTATTCTCGCCGAAGAAAAGAATAATGAAGCGCGTAAAACGGAAATTCAGGCAGGGGAGTCGGTGTGTCATACGCTGCGACTGAAGCTGCAGGAGGCTCAGCGGCGTGTGTGGGATTACCGACGGCGTGAGGCGTTTGTTTCTGCCGCCGAGAAGAAGTATTTGGAGCAAATGGAGAAAATTCATACTTTGCGAGAGGAGGTGAGGGCGTGCGGGTTGCACCTTCCGGTGTTTGGGGCAGGAGGTGATAAGACGGGATCTGTTATTCCGACATGCAATCGATTTTGTTGGGAGCGGCGCTGCGTTGGGCGACAAAATGCAGTTAAGCCACCACTGTTGTTGGAAGCGGGCGGTGTTTCTTCCGACAGGACGGGAAGGGATTGGAATGAAGGAAGAGAGGAGGGCGACCCGAACGCCATTGTGTCACGTGTTTTTGCCTTTCCTCCAGGCGTCTTGTACGCGTTGCAACTTGCCATGTCGGGCGACAAAGGAGACCGCTCTACTGAGAAGGAGGGCGCTGATGATAATGAGTACATGAGTCATCGA